TCTTTGTCACAGGGCTTAAGCTAAACACCTAGGGCTATCCTCCATTGTAGACCTTCCAGTACTCTTTCCACCAGCCTCTCAAATGTTGCTGTAGCATTGCTAAGACCGAATGGCATCACACGATATTGCCAGAGACCTTGACCATAACTAAATGCAGTCTTAGGTTTGTCTGCTTCAGCCATTTTCCCTTGATGGAAACCCGACTTTAAGTCCAGAGTTGAAAACCACCTGGCTCCACTTAGGGCATCAAGAGTATCATCAATTCTTGGCAGTGGGTATGAGTCTTTTTCGGTTATACTGTTAAGAGCCCTGAAGTCCACACAGCAACGTTGGGTTCCATCCCACTTCTGGCACCAATTTGTTACGCCTCTGATCGTTTGTTAATTTTCCGTAGAAATTCTTTCCGAAAACTTCAGCAATACAAGTCCTTCATTAAATAAAACTAGTTTATTCTTTCTCAATACAACTTTGCAATACACTTAATTCCCACAGTCAGTTAACTTAAACAAATGCGTGAATCGTTCGTTGTGAATTATAGCTTGTTGACTGGCTACAAGAATAATTGTTAAATCTCGTTATTCAATCAGACAAGAGTAGACCATGAGTTATCAGTGAGTGTTGTTGACTGGCTGCCTTCCATCTAGTTTATCGGTTTAAAACAGCCCTTGTGTAGTTTTCCACGAAAATTCTCAAAGTCTGTTTATTTGGTTTAAAGCAAAACCACATTGGGCTATCTGTTGTGTTCACAGTGGGGAATAAAACCCCGGATTTTAGCATTGTAAATCCGTTGACTTACCGCTTTCCCATCGAGGGACAATTCTCAAAGAAACAAACAATTTCATTTATATAACTATAACATTGTTGGGCGTATAATTTCTTACATAACTATAAACAAGCTCGAATTATCACATTTAATCAAAATTTTCTATCTCGAACTCAAAACAAATCTCAGTTTCCAACTTCCCAGTTACTTGTATGTTTATTTATATCTTATTAAATCATTCTATATATTAACCTGCCTAGCTACCTTTATTTAGTTTATATTGTAGTGTCGATATAAGTATAGAACTGGAGTGAAAATGTCTGGAAATTACGTTTTTGATCATTCTTAAAAGAATCAAGTAGTTACCAACGATGTGTTCCATGTATCGAAGCTTTAGTACGTACTGTCGAATTAGCGTGAAACATCAGCGTGTTAGATTATCTGCATAAGTTTAAAAACATATAAAAGTTAATGATACTTTCAAAATCTAACTTTGATTTTTTTTTTAACTAAGTGGCGTTTCAGGAACTTTTCTCTGCAAGTGTGTGTGTTATGAATGTCTTCTCAAAAGATAATTATATGTTTTTTACTGAATACAATGAGTATCAGCCAAGTTTAGTTTTATAAAATCGACAGTAAGTAATTGTATTTGTTTTATTAACAATTTGTGGGAGTTTCTCAAACTGAACTTTAATAATACCATTTAAGGAAATCCTGGGTGAAACCTTTGGAATACCAGTGTGGGGAAACAGTGCTCTATCTGTTATTCGTAAATAGGTCAACAAATAATAACATTTTCATATAGCTGCTGTAGAAAAAATGTGAAAATTGAAACCCAAATACCCCAAAGTAATTGTAGTGATAAATGAAAAAATTATATTAGTGTGCCAATTATTATTGCTCAGATTTGGCGTCAGCCAGTGTAACAGGTTTTACCTCAGCGCCATCTTTTATCAATCATATGAACTCTAATTTTTAAGTAAGCCAAGTACAAATTAATGCGTTAGCCGTTCTTAGTTTGGAAATAACAGATTATAAAGAAGGTAGTTAGTCAACAGCACCAACCAATAACTTTTGGGCTACAATAATTTATTAATGGGGTTTGACTGTCAGTTTACCCTCTAGTGGCTCAGCGGTAAGTCTGAAGGCTCATAACACTAAAACCCGGGTTTCGATACTCGTGGTGACCACACTACACAGCCTAGACCTAGAGGTTTGTGTGTGTCAGACTGTGAATACGAGGTTCCATGTTTTGAGTCCTATTTCCAGAAAATCGGGCTCTACATTTCGGGACCTTGAGTGCATTATAAAAGTGACAGTCTTTGTTTGCGTGTTTGTTTGTTTTTAAACATTAAGCTACACAATTGGCCAGCTGTGCTGTGTCCACCTGGACCATTTGTTATTCCATATAATAGTGGATTAAATGCAGTAAACGATGAACCATGGAAATTAGTTTTTGGAACGCTGTATTTTATAAGACAGATATTCCGTCTGAATCAGTTTCGCCCCCACAGAGGCACAGTGGTATGTCTGCGGACTTACAACGCTAGAAACCAGGTTTCGATGCCCGTGGTGGGCAGAACATTGTGTAGCTTTGTGCTTAATTACAAACAAAAGCAAAGAAACAAAACTTCTTTACATTTTATGAATTTTGTGGCTAAGAAAACATCGTTTTGAAGAACAACTCAATGGGCGTTTTAATTCCCATATTCACAAAGACAAAAACATTCATGATGGACATGAAATGTTCATGTTCCTAAAATGAATTACATTTATTGATTCAATAATAAGCATGACATTATTGACATGAATATAATAGCTAAATACAACAGAATGTGTTACTTTTGATTATGAAGCTGACAGTTTCTTCGTGAAATTATTACTCTTTCTTTTGAAGCGGTCAACCGGTGACTCAATGGTAAACTTGAGGGCTTATCACGGTAAAAATCTGAGTTCCATATCCGCGTTGGGCACGGCGCAGATAGCTAATGTTTCAACGTAATGACTATGCGTCAGTTTGTATTTTAGTGCTTAAAAATTGAAAATCGAAAACAGAAAAATTTTGTCATTAATAAATGTCTCTTATCTTTGTACTTTCCATTTGCTTCTTTTACAGTAATGCACGACAAAAAACCCTGTGCTTTATTGAGAAGTATTAACAGTAGCCATATAGGAGACGAGTGCTACTGCCTAACTGCCTTAACTTTGGTCAGAAGCTCTAAATTAGGGACGAGTGTGCCTGAAAGTTAGGTTTATAATATGACCTCTCAGCCAATGTGTGGCATAACCCAAAATTCAAATTCAACGCTGTAGAAATATCTTCAAAATATTGTTGAAATGCCTTTAGAATGGTGTCAAAATGCCTTTAGAGGAAACATTATATGAGCATATATATACATACTTCTTTGACCTCCAGTGGCACAGCGGTATGTCTGAGGACTCATGCTGCTAGAAACCAGGTTTCGATACTAGTTGTGGGCAGAGCACAAATAGCCCATTGTGTAGCTTTGTGCTTAATAATAAACAACAACATATTTCTTTGTTGCACAGAACATGGTTATCAATCATACTAACACGTCTTGAAATGGATGTCACAGCGCCTTTCAAAGATCCTAAATCGATTGTTTCTCTCTCTGAAGGAAACAAAATTATTTGGTCACTTTTGCACTCGTCACTATAACTACTTAAAAGCTCTGATTTGTGTTGTATGAGGATACTTAACTAACAGAATAAACGTGTAAGGTGTTGAACGTTAATATAACGTTGTCAAAATGAAATTCGTAAATTTATTATGGAGACCCCTAGTGAGAAAAAATAAGGCTAAGAGAGATTTTAAATAAAAGTATTTGTTATGGTTTTATGTGATATAAATGAATACGATCCTTACTTGTACTTTTAGATAATATATTGGGTTTGTTTGATTGTTTTGTTTTTTAATTTCGCGCAAAGCTACACGAGGGCTATCTGCGCTAGCCGTCCCTAATTTAGCAGTGAAAGACTAGAGGGAAAGCAGCTAGTCATCACCACCCACCGCCAACTCTTGCGCTACTCTTTTACCAACGAATAAGGGATTGACCGTCACTTTATAACACCCCACGGCTGAAAGGGCGAGCATGTTTGGTGGGACGGGGATACATATGTTGGGTTAAATTAAATACTTGAAATAAAGCTGTCAACTTTTTAACCAAACAGTCTTGAACTTGTAATGTCTGTTCATATCAGAAATAAATTCACACCCTAGAATGGAGAAGAAGGCTATTCTACTTTATTCAAATGGCTTTTGTTCATAATGATATCCACATGAGCAAAGAAAAAACAAAAAAAGCAAGAAAAATACACACACACACACACTAATTTGAATTCAAAATTTATCAGTAAGCCCCAATGGCTCCACGGTACGTCTGAGGGCTTATGACTCTAAAAACCGAACTTCGATATCCGTGGTTGGCACAGTACTGATAGCTTGATGTGTAACTTTGTATTTAACAACAAATAAACTTAAGTTTATAAACAAATAAATATTACCATATAACTTTAGCAGTTTTAAAAGTGTGTGCTGTTTAAAACATTAACTGCTTTACTTAAACAATGAACCAGTAAAGTGTATTAACTTAATCCTTATAAACCTTAATCATTTCAATTGCCAATGAGATTGAATTTAGATAATGCTCAGCCGACTAATCCCATAAAATGACATTTATACAACAAACCATAGGCGAGCCTTCAGCCATAATCTGTTACGATTTGTGCAATAATATATACTAGGAAAAGTCACATTGAGATAAATGAATGCTTAATGCTGAATGAGAAATGAATTTTTTGTTATTCACCCTGTAGCAATTATACTTGACACAGAAAACACAGTGTTGTTTCAATCTTTCGACAGTGAGTTAACTTTGTTCGATTGAACGCGTGAAAAGTAATATTGACGTAAGTAATGACTTCCGTTTTTGCATACTGCTATAGCTACACTGTAGAACATAATTAATCTTAATTTATTTTCAGTTAGCGAGATATTTGTGGCTTGTAATGAAGATATCATCGAAAGAAATGATTTGATAAGCGTAATGTGAAATATTGTGGTGCAAACCTATTTTAATGTGCTTTATTTATGGAGCAAAGTTTTCGTAAGTGTAAAAAGAAAATATCAAAATGGAGTTGTACTAAATGTCGCTACGAAGAAAGTCAACAGTCAAGAATTAATGACAGTGATATGGACTTAAAGTAAGCCTACTTTAAATTCGTTAGTGTTACAGATAAAGGAGATTAAAACAATTCCGCATTGACTTCAACACTATCTGAAAGTATAACTTTTAATTTTGAATAAATATGATGAATTGTTAAATCAAATACAAATAGTTTTGAAAAGACTATATGATCAACAAATAGTTGAAGATTTAAAAAAGTGAAAACATCTTATTAACAGAAAAGATTTGAAACTTGACATACAGGCTTAACGACATTAGCTTTCAGAAAGGATTCAAAAAGATACAAAAGTAATAGTTAAGAAGTAAGCTATTGCCTTAGACATCACAATGGGATATAATGAAACAGAATCCTCGGAACAGACAGGTAGAAAAGATATAACTTAGGAAATTTGCAAGACTTATAATAGTAAGATTTAGTAACAGGCCTCTTCATGAAAAATTGCTCCAAGGTTTGAACAGAAGAAGAAATTAACAACGAAGGAAAGAGGCATTGTTAATAACTGAAAATAATATAGACGTAAATGAACATTTATAAACATTTTTAAAGATTTGTTTCATAAGGCAAGGAATATTAAAAGGGGTAAAAAATATAAATTATTATGGATTAAGAATGGTAGAATTTTTGACAGAAAGGAGAATCAATGAATATTATACATATCAGAAATGAAAATTATCTCAAATATTGTAATGTAACGTATTCATATTGTTACGACAGCGGAAGTCACGTCACGTCATGATATTCTCGAAGGTTCGTGAATGCTCGAGTGTTTACTGAATGTGCGGTATTCTTGTATATAAGACCGCCAAGAAGTGATGGCAACAATGGAATTGAATTGCAAACAGAGATAGAGACGGACAATTGAGTCAAGCCACTCACCGATAACTCATGGACTCTGAATGGACATCACCAGGTGACGTAACCTTGGCAGTTTTAAGCATTTTTCTTCTCTCCTCGTTAGCTATGTGCAGCAACGCTTTACTCGTGATATCCATCTATCGCTTCAAACGCCTGAAACATCCGAGTAATTATTTAGTGCTCTCACTAAGCTCCGCTGATCTCGGAATCGGACTTGTTCTTCCAGTTGCTCTTTATTTTGAGCTCTGTCGTTCTAAAATAGACACAGCTCTTCTATGTTTCGTACCATTTTCTATTCTCATTCTACTCTGTAGCGTGTCCATTTTGAGCGTGACAGGAATAGCGTTAGATCGTTACATTTCTCTCGCTTCTCCTCTTCGCTATAACAACATCATCACTGACCGCACCATTGGCAGGTACATTATAGGCTTCTGGGTATATTCTTTCCTTGTTAGTTGCACGCCTGTCTTATGGTGGTATTTTATTCGCCCCGAGAAACACATGATAGCTTGCAGCTTTAACTTAATAGGGTATCAAGTAAGACTCTTTCTTTTCTTTTCACTTTTTGCACCATGCTTATTTTTTATTTTCTCCAGCTATGCTTACGTGTATGTAATTGCCAGGTACCACGCACGTGCTATATTTTTAGTGGAACTGTCCTTACGTCGCCAAACTGGGGAAGTTGAAACAGAGGCCAAATACGGACGAACTTTAGCAGCGACCACAGGTCTATTCCTTGTCACGTGGCTTCCATTCCAAGTGTGTATGTTAATTGACATATTCCATAATACCGATATACTAACGGGGAAAGCTACTTTTTATCTGGGTGTCCTAGCAGTTTCAAACACCTGCATTAACCCGTGGATCTACGGTTATCGGAACTCGGAAATTAGGTACGCCTTTTCGAGGACTTTGGAGGAATTTGCACCAAAGTTGGGCTACATTCTGAAGTCTTTAGTTCCTATCAAAAAATCCTGTGCTGGGATGCCAAGCTATGCTTCTAATATCCGCTTATGTCATTCACCTAAACTTGTAGTCAACGCTACAGAAACTACTCATACGACATATCTGCATCCTCCGGAAACTACCTACTTGACAGAAACAAGCTTTCTTGCACGGAATTCTGCCAACTCTGTTACAACTACGGTAGTTAGTTTGTAGAAAAACTGTATTTATCAATAACTTTGTATTGTTGTATACTGAAAATAAAAAAAAAGACCTTTCTGGAAAACAGAATAGAAATATTCTGCCCAGAACGTTCGTTTTTTTAAGTCTAAGATCCTAATGTGTAAAGAAATATATAAATACAGAAACTATAACACACAGCAGTATCTTTATTATGTGGCTTGATAGTGTATGACAGGAAATGGCGACGTCATGGCAGGAAACGATGGCGATGATGGAGAAGCATGACATGAAGATATAGGAAGGAAATCTTTCTCTCTCTCTCTCTCTCCGGGAAGAACGTGTATGATTGAGTCGAATAAGAAACGTTTATCAGACAGATTGACATAGTTATTTCACATTTGAACAAATATAGTATTACAAAAAAATATGTTGAATAATTAGTATTAAGAAAACTTTCGTTTCGTCAGATTGTGTTTGATTAGAACAGTTAAGGAACACATTCACATTTACATAAACATTTGGAAGATTCGAGTCGTTATTAACAATAAATATATATTAATGAGCACATTTAATGGAGCATCCCATTTTTACAGATTTTGTGTCTGGAATTATTGAATAACATTGTAAGTGGAAACACGCGGTAAAACTCAAAGAAATACGTTTCAAACTTCTGTTTACATTGAAGATAAAAGCCTTTGAAGTGATTCAAGATATCTACCGTTAGTTGTCGTTTTATCAATACACATGATGAATATTGCTCGAAGACATTGGATGACTGTTAAAAATACAAAACGCTCAATTGAAGAATTGTAATTCTTCTGAAAGGCTTTTCAATGGACTTCCTCCACTGTTTTACTATCAAATTGAAAGGTCGCCTCAAAACAAGTGGATAAAATTTGTTCAAAAACCTTTCAGGCTATTTTATGTTTATTTTCAAAATTTTCTACTTGAATTGTTGTTCGGAAAATGCAGTTTTCTTGATTTGATGGGAAGTTTTAAGCACAGAGCAAGCTCCGTCTCCTTAACTCCAGAGACCAGATTATCTTCGTCAAAATGTTAATATATTCCACAAATAATAACCAACAATTTAATAATATTAATGAATACTTTTTAAAAATTTATTTGTCTTAAATTTTATAGAATGATCGAGCCCCGGATTTTGGCGAATGAAATTGAAATAATAGGCATGTAAACGGTTAAAAAATAGTAGAATGACGAAGATAATTGATAAGATGAACGATAAGACTGTAAAGAAAGTGGGAAAATATAAGCAGAGGAATTTTATTTACCCTATTCAGTCTGACAGAAATTTTTCAGATAAAAATCAACTTTCTTTCAAAACTTTCAGGTAATCTTATCTCTAAATGTGTATGGACGGTGATGAAACTAAAATCATTTTGTGTGGTGCACATGTGTTCAATGATAAGTGTTGTTTTATTTCTTATTGTGATGTACAAATTCAGTGTTTACTGTCAGTTTAATTAATACATGTAACTAGCAGATTTAAAGACATGTTTGTTCGTTTTTTCAATAAAGCCATATTGGACTATTTGTTTTACCCACCGCGGGGAATCGAATCCAGGATTTTAACGTTGTAAATCTATAAACTTACCACTGTACCACTGGGGGCATTAAGGAGTGAATAAAGATTTCTATAGTGTATGTACGAATGATTTATTGGTATAGAGACTGTAATTCATTTGGCGCAACAATGGGCTTTGTTTACGACATGCTATTGTTTTCATAAAACAGTGTTTCGTGGACCGAACGAGAAAAAATAACTAATAACTTTCTTACAAGCAGTATGGTGGATGTTATGTTAATCGTTTCTTTGGTTCCTCAATTATGTGAAGAAACAACTTTATTATCGAGTTAAGCTATCACAATCAGCTGGTCCTTCTTCCTACACTTTGTTAAAAACTGGGTTTTCAAAGGAATAGCTTAAAGGTCAAGTTCTTTCATCTTTATAGTTATTTCTAGATAGGAAATTACTGGTATAATTCTTTTTTCTTTTATAGGTAATTTATTTTTTTCAGCTTGTTTGAATTAGTCTGTAGTGTAATTGAACTCAAGCAGAAACAAAAGCTTACGCACTTGGCTGATTCTGATAAATCAGTTACACAAATGAAAATATTAAAGTTAAAAAGTTTGAATAAAATAAATATACAATGATGAAACGTGCCCTGGAGGATTCTACAACAGACTTATATGGACTATAGAATTATACATTGTGCCACTTTTGCATACAATTTACTCTCTACATTAAATACAGAGTTTGAGTACGTTTTGTTAAAACGATTTTGGAGCCTCCTCAAGTGGTTACATTCCATGTTCCCACTTCCATTTATGCTCTCTCTGACGACTGAATATCTTGACAATAACCTTTCAGCGTAGTTTTTCGTTATAAAAGGCTCCGTCGTAAGGTTTTCATGTCCGAAGCACACACTTTCTCTCTGCTGGCTTTCGATAAGCCATCTAATGTACAAGTACGACGGTTTTGTAGCACCGGAGTGTCTTTGTGTGCTTTGTATGTTTGTTGAATTTCTCGCAAAGATACTCGAGGGCTACCTGCGCTAGCTGTCTCTAATTTTAAAGTGATAGACTAAAGGGAAGACAATTAGTAAACACCACCCACCGCCAACTCTTGTCAGACAAACTAGTGGCGCCCCCAGTGGCTCAGCGGTATGTCTGCGGACTTACAACGCTAGAAACCGGTTTTCGATACCCGTGGTGGGCATAGTACAGATAGCCCATTGTGTAGATTTGTGTTTAATTAAAAACAAACAAACCAAATAGTGGCATTTGACTGTCACTCTTATAGCACACTCATGGCCCCAAAGTGCTGAATGACATTTTTTTCTCTTTTGGTTGAAATGGTGTGCAATCCATGGAATATCAGATCCACAGTTTGGCACGCTAATCATTGGGACACGCTCAACCATCTTCCTATGGAATAGCGTGAATATTCATTTCATTCTCCATGCCTAGGCGCGTAGAAGTTTTTTGCCATAGATTTTCATGTGTCTGTTACAAGACACCACACACTGCCTACCACGATTGGGGTACGACTTGTTGCAAGTCTCTTTCTGAATGGTCATGGGACTCCAAGTTGATCCATTCTCCTTTGTTTTCCAATGCCGTTAAGAACAAGGGATATTTTAAATTCCCAATCTGAAAACATCTTTATGACCTCAGTATATGAATAGTTTGCGTCGGAGAAGGCTGTTATATACTCATCCAAAAATCGATCAATTTTCGGTGGCATTACACAATGTCAAATTGTATTTCTGATGAATGCCTTTCTACCACGACTTTATATGGCTATATTTGTCACGTGACTTGCTGGTTTGCATATCCCAAATCGTTTTAATATAACATATTCAGCTGTCTGTATATATATCTGTGTGTATTAAGTGTTTCTATCACCACTGTATAGATAGTTCAGTTTTTACCTGTTACATAAGGGCATCCGATACAGCACTGTACATATGCATTTTAACCGTTTCCAATAATAATCGTACAATACCGCTGTCTGGTTTGAAAATCTATATTCTCCAGTAACAGTTTATTTATCCATGATTAAGTCAGTACAATTATAAAAAGATATAATTATAGTAATTGTAACTGAAGAGATATTAATTAGTTTAAACTTACGAGCAAGAAAAAAAAAAGAGTTCGTCTAGACCTGAATTTCTCTTTATATGTACAAGATTATTCAGCGCGTACTTCAAAACGTCAATGGTGACCGTGTAATAACTCTCCTGACAATAAATTTCAAACTTCCTATGTTGGAACTTTTTATCGTTTAATTAACAAATAGCTTTCACAAACTGAAACTCAGTGAATGTTAATTAAGGTTCATTTCGGTTTTTATACAAAATAAGATTCGAAAATTAGTTTTATATATATTTAAACTTTCCAGCGAAACTGGCACGTGATTTAATAGTCGAGAAAAGTAAGCACTTCAACTGATATTTCAGCTTATACTTATAAAGAGACATAGTGAAAATATTTTATAAGCATGTGGATGAATGACAACTCGTTCTATTAAAAACATGGTATAATTTCTTTTCCTCTGATTAAATATTTTTGGTCTCGTGATTAACCAGAGAAATCGATATGAATGCGAACAAACGCTCATATCGATTTCAATTTTGCTTGGACCGAGCGTTGCTTAGTGGTTGTCATGCCCAGACTATTAATCTAAAGATTCAAGTTCTGTAGTCATCTTTGCCACAAAAGTACGCTCCAAACTTTTCGTTATGGGTGCGCTACAAGAGTAATTGTTAAATCTTGGTATTCGATCAGACACGAGTAAGTCGCTGAATTAACCCTTTCATTATTTAGGTGCAGGACACCATTCCGGGATCGAATTTGTGGAAAATATTCGTTGTTCAGGAAAACGTTTTGTTGTGATCGTTCAATGGTTGTGGAATTTAGTACAATGTTGGACATTTTCACATTTTTCTATCTGTGTACTGCATTTGAAAGGGAAGTATTTTAAAAGTATACCAAATGTTACAAATTGAATGTACGTAAAATTTCAAGAGCTTTTCAGTTAGTATGTTAGGACTTGAAGTTTAGAATACACGTGATGACTTTAAGAACTTCCAGTCAGTATGTCACGTGGTGGAATTTGGAAGATGAGTGGATGTTTCAAGAAAAGTTGATATCAATATATACCAATAAATAATTTATTAGTTAAAGATGGTATCCCTTGTATTTTCTGAAAGACATGTTGGTCAAATTTTACAAAAGCTACACGAGGGTTATCTGCGCTAGCCGTCCATAATTTAGCAGTGTAAGACTAGAGGGAAGGCAGCTAGTCATCACCACCCACCGCTTACTCTTGGGCTACTCTTTTACCAACGAATAGCGGGATTGGTCGTCACATTATAACGCCCCCACGGCTGAAAGAGCGAGCATATTTGGTGTGATGGGGATTCGAACCAGCGACCCGCAGATTGCGAGTCGAGCGCCCTAACCACCTGGCCATGCCGGGCCGTTTTGTGTGCTGAAAAATGTACTGTTTGTAAAAATACTCTTTACTACTCCAACCACCGAAGGTGACAGAGGTTATGTTTTCACCCCTCAGAGTGTGTTTGTCAGCAAGATTTCTCAAAAACGGCTCAATGGATTTGGACAAAAGTTGGTATGCATTTGGTATATGACCCACCTTACAAGTAATGAGTTTTTAGAGGGTGAAGGTCAAAGTTTAAAGACACACCAAGATCACGAAATTCCAAAACATCCCTATCTGTTAGCATGAGGACTGATTTTACATGCTATTTTTTGCTCAACAATTC